CCCACCCTTTTACTTTTAGTCTTTCTTTATCTTCATTTTTCAGGTGCACCTCTTGTAGACAGCACATTGATGATTTTTTTTTAATCCAAAGTGCTACTCTTTTTCTCTTCGATGGTGCATTTAAACCATTTACATTCAGTATGATTACTGAGAGGCAAGGTTTTCATTGCTATAATTTTGTTGAGTTCTTTTTGGTGGTGTTGCTAGTTACTTTGGTCCATCCTGTTTTCTTTGGTACCTCTGTAAGGACATCCCTTCGTGTTTTCTGCATGCAGTTTTTTTCTTGGTACAAAAACTTTGTATATTCCCTCCATCTTCTTTTGTTGATTTCTGGGTCATTCAACATATTTCCCATAGCACTTTTCAATATTGTGACTTGAGGCTTAAATTTGTTTTTTAGTTCTCTCAGGTTGAGAAATGCTGTTTGAATTCTTTCCTTTTTCTTCTCTAATTTCAGCTCTCTGCACATTCTATTATAATAGTTTGCTTTGTCTTCTTGAACTGCCCTTTGAAATCTTCTGTTCAGCTCTTTTACTTCAGCAAGTTTTCCCTTTGTTTTGACTTCTATATGCTCTAGTGCAATTTGCAGAGTCTCTTCTGACATCCTTTCTTTCTTTTTCTTTCTCCTCTGCCTTTGCTATGACCTTTGCTCGCTTCTTCTTGATGTAATCCCACAATTCATCTGATCTTCAATCATTGGTGTTCAGTGCTTCAAACCTATTCTTAAGATGATTTTGAAATTTAGGTGGAATAGACTTAAGATCATATTTTGGTTCTCGTGGATTTGTTTTAATTTTTTCAGTCTTAATTTGAATTTCTATGTGAGTATTTGATGGTATGATCTACATTCCCTGGCCTAGTTTGCCCTGCCAATATTGATCTTCTCCAGTGATTCCATTCACAGAAGTAGTCAGTCTGATTCCTTTGCAGCCCATCAGATGAGGTCCATGTGTAAAGTCGCCATTTGTACTTTTTATAAAAAATATTTGCAGTGAACAAATAATTGAAAGTACAAAACTTAGTCATCTTATTTCCAACCTCATTTCTGTCACCAAGTCCATACTTTCTAACTACTATTTCTTCTTCGTTGTTTCCAACTTTTGCATTCTATTCACCAGTTATCATTAACACACCTTTATTGTGTGTTTGTTCAATTTTAGACTACAAGATTTGGTAAACATTTTCAGTTTCTTCCTCTTTAGCTCTAGATATAGGAACATATATTTGGATAATATTCATATTAATGGGTCTTCTTTCTTGTGTATGGATAAAAACCTAACACATAATACATTGTACTTCAGGATAGAACTTGAAATTGACTTTATGACTGTGAATGCAACACCATTCTTCTTCTGTTTTTTGTTCCCAGCATAGTATACCACCATATGATTATCTGATTCAAAGTGACCAAAGCTTGTCCATGTCATATCACTAATGCCTGGAATGTTGATGTTCATGTGTTCTATTTCATTTTTCACAATTTCTAGTTTTTCAACATTTAAGCTTCCTATTTTACATGTTCCAATTATTAAAGGATGTTTGCCATTCCTCTCCCCCCTATTTCTACTGATTTACAATCTAGGCTCTACATCTAATACTTTATTTGTTTTTCTCTACTGTTCACAGGGCTTTTATAGGCCTCTTATTTAAGAAGTGACATTCCTGCTTCCTAGTTTTTAAAACAAGGATTACCCATAGTAGACAGATTTTAGCAGAGTTCTCAGATTAAGATAGACGAGGAATCAGGAACTGATAATATGTGAACTAAAATTCAAAAGGAACATCTGATGCCATAATGGTAAGGAATTGTGCTACCAACCCGAAAGTATGTTATTCAATCCACTAGCTGCTCCTTAGGAGAGACATGGACATTCTCTTCCTGTGTGATTTACTGCCTCTGAAAACCTGCTGGAGGGTCAGCTATGGGTCAGTTCCTCCTTGGTCTTACACAACAACAGCAACAATTCACCAGCTACTCTGTGGGAGAAGGATGGGCATTCTCCTCCCCTGCAACTTACAGCCTTTGAAAGACCTTCTGGAAAGTTAACTATGAATCGGTTCTGACTTGAAAACACATAATAACAACAACACCACCACAAAATTCAGATAATCTTTCTTTTCAATACAATCTATGAAAATAGAATAACTGATTTCCTTTCTCCTATTGGTGCTCATTATATGATGCTTACCTTCTAAATCATGCTTCTGTGGTTCTCAGATTACTTCTGGTGTCTCTGTAAGAATATCTTCACTAGAATACTCTCAGTCTGAATCTGGACTTTGTTACAGTATAAAAATAAAAATAAATGCATCTAGAGGTCTAGTGCTTTCACTCCTACTTAGATAGGACCTCATCATAACAATAGCTAAATTGATAAGTTCCACTGAAGTCTTAAAATGAATTCTATTTCTCCTTTTTCATTGAAAATATAAATTATAGTCTTTATTGCAAAACTTGGGAAGGATTTTGAATTAGTGTTTTCATTTCAATTCAACAAGCATTAATTGAACATTCATTATTTAGCAAATGATTATATACATACAGAAATTTGAGCATATGAAATGAATACAATCTGTTCTCTGCTCCTGAAGAATATTGTAATATTGTAATCAGATATGCAATTAAATTATCTCTTAATATAACTATTTTATGGCAGCATAGTGTACTGACTGTGAAACCTGTTGTTGCAATGGTTAAGAATTTTGATATTAAACAGAAGGTCAGTAGTTCAAACCCAGCATCTGCTTTGCAGGAGAAAGATGTACCAGTCTGCTTCCAGAAAGATTTAAGTCTCGGAAACCTCATGAAGTGGTTCTTTCTGTTCTGTTTGGTTCCTATGAGTTGGAATGAACTCAATGGCAATGGGTAGAAATTGAATGAGATGAGGAATATTTAAAAGTAAACTAATAGATCTTACTCAGATAACTATGGGGCAGAGTAAGAGGGGTTGTGAGAAAATAAAACTTCTAAAATGTTCAGGAATCCTTCTTTTCTAAGTAAACAGAGATGCCTTTAAGAGTGGGTAGGGAGAAAAGTGCAACAATGAATGAATGGAATTCCAAAATCTCTGTAGATGTTCATTGAAATATAACTCAAGGCTTGAATTTGTTCTTCAGGGTTTTCAGCTTGAGAAATCACTTTTGGTTTTCTAACTCCAACTCTGCACATTTTGTTTTAACACTTTGTTTTGCCTGCTCGAGTTGCCGTTTGAAACCTTCTGTTCATCTGTTTTACATCAACCTTTCTCCCTTTGGTTTGGCCTCTTCATGTTCTAGTACAAGTTTCAGAGTCTCTAATGACATTCACTGTTGTCCCTTCTTCCTCCTCTGCCTCTGTAATGAACTTTGCTTTCTTGGTGATTTCCTTGATGTCATCCACAGCTCAGCTGGTCATCTGTAATTAGTGTTCAATGCATCGAATCTATTATTGAGATAGTAAGGGTTTTTAACTTAAAGTGCTTCTAAATCAGCTAAAGGTATATTATTAATTTTAATTGTTATTTTAACAAAGTTTTGGTTTTCATTCATTCACTGCTGCACATTTTCCTCCCTCCCCTTCCTACTCCTTCCCCCAGCTTGAGATAATTTTTCGTCAGGGAGGATAGATTCACGGTCATATTTTTGTTGTCATGGATTTGTTTTCATTTTCTTCAACTTCAACTTGAATTTGCACATAAGTATTTGATGGTCTATTCCACAGTCAGCTCTTGGCCTTGATTTGATCAGCTCAGCTGATGTTGAACTTCTCCATGGACTCTTTACACAGTATTATTAATCTGATTCTTGTGTAGTCTATCAGGAGAGGTCCATGTGTATAGTTGCCATTTTTGCTTTCTTTAAAAAGTTATTTGCAATTAATAAATAATCAATTGGATAAAAAAAGAAAAATTAATAATAATAAAAAAAGAAAGAAAAAAAAGAATTTGAAAATAGAGAAAAGGATCACATTTTAAAATTGTTTTAGGCATTTTTTGAGGAATAATAGAATTTCTACATAGTTCATAAAGACAAATTCATGTTTTCCAAGCAATGAGATTTCATTTTTATTAGTATTTCCCTTTTTCACATACTTGTCCATGTCTTCAAAGTTTTCGGCTACTAACTGGTTTTGGTATGAAGGCTTGTAATCACTGCTAGAACATTAATATTGGCCTCTATCAAGAAAAAAAACAAGCCACTTATCTTAGTCTTTTAAGATGGATTTGGCAATTATTGAAAGACCAGGATTGTCAAGTGCTGTGAAAGATTGATAGTTTGATTTATTTTGATCCATTTAGGCTAATAACCACAAAGGCAGACTGCAGAATAATATCCAGAAATTCGGTTTTAGTTTCATGCAACAGACTTACTTTGTTGGTTCAAAAAATTACTTTTTGTATGTTTTCAAGAGTCATACCATTGTTTTCAAGGAAACTAGAATCTTTTCATCTCAAGAATATAAGCTGAGAACTTCTACCAAATTAGGAACTCAGATGTTCCATTTTATATCTCCATTTTATATCATGTCGTAAGTCTTGGGGACTGTTTTGATGGTGGTGTAGACCATTGGAAGTTGTGCTGCTGATTCTAAAGACTGTGCCTCTCAGGGGCTTCATGTCAGCCAAACACTCCTGAGGGACCAAGATGTACAGTTTCTTTCAATGCAATTTCACAGCCTCAGAAACCTGGTGGAGGGTTAGCTTTGAGTTGATTCTGACTGGACAGCAGAGAGTCAGAGTTACAGCAGGTGATTTAGATAGAATGGCATTAGTAGGAATAGGGAGAAAAAGTCAGATTCACTTATTTAACCTCTTATTTTAGAATAGAGTGAATATCAGCTATTAAGGACATCTTTTACTCCACAATATCTAATATTGGCAGTAAAGTAAGAAGTAAGTTAAATGATTTTCTTACACTTTTCAGCGATTTGAGCTCCACGATTCCAGACACCCTGTACTTCCTCAGGAGATTGTAAGAGTGGAGAGGAAGATTGAAAACCCTGTCCCCCAAGCCACCGTGACTGTCCGGATTGCAGAGAAGGAAGTAACCATTGAGGTAATGAACCACAGATTTTCATTTCCAAAAGTATTTTGTCTATGGTTCTCTTTACGCTATGCATTTGCATCTGTATATTTATATTTGTGTAGCTACAGTCACATGCATTAAGCTGGAAAAGTTCAACAGAAACCTAGATGTAGCCTTTCATCAAAAATAAAGTTGACCCTTGGGAAAAACAGTCATTTGTTGGTTGGTCTGTGAAAGCCTTTTATACTGTGAGCCCAGGATAAGAAATAGTCAATGTTTTCACATGTAGTTTAGCCTCTAGGAAACCATTTTTTCCAATAAAATATTTTTCAGCTATGTAAAACAGCCAAAAGGGAGCTGCTTTGGTGAACATGTTTTCAGGAAAGGAGAGGAGTAACACTTGGTCATAGAACCTTATCTGCTGGCTCTACCTGCCTTTCTCTTAACACTTTTCTTGAGGCCCTGAAACCCCTGGAGGTCGTAGGAAAATGATTCTCTAGGAAACACCGATTGTCAACACTGACTTAAATAAAATGGAAGTAGATGTAGGAAAAAGAAATTCTTATGTTGTGACAAAGAAAATGTTCATTATAAGCTTTGTTTGTTTTAATATGATATTTATAATGATATGTTATTACTTTATTCATTCATTAGATAAACACTGATGACATGTTTTCAGCTTTGTCACCGGAATGTATGTGTGTACTTTGCATCCTTTGACCATTTTCAAAGAAGAGAAGGACTAAGATTTGCCAAAATGTTACTGTATATATTAGTTACTATAATTGTACAATTATAGTGACTAATAGTATCTTTGCGTGTATCGTTGCTATTTAAACCTCCAGTAACTATGGAAGTAAATTTTATCATCTCCATGTTACAGATTTAAAAAGTGAAATGTGAAGAGGCTGATTGATTCACCCAGGATCGTTAACTAGGAAGTGACACAGTTGAGGTTTCTAGACACCCTGCTCTCTCCATAAGATAGATAACTTCTTCAGTCTAATTGTCTAGGAAAGAGACAGATGGCTATTAACAGTATCAACAATCAACATGGCTATGGAGATATAAAGAAAGATGTTAGGAGAAGTCATAAACAAGTTCAGAGAGTAAATGGCCATTGACCTGAATTTTAGTGAATGATATAGCAGTTTTCCAGTCACTAAAGAGTAGATAGATGATAGGACATTGCAGGTAGTTTAAACAGCATGTTCAAAAGTGTGAAGTGAAGTGTGAGTTAACTCTCATTATTTGCATTCTTTTGGTAATGACTTTCCAATCATGCCCAGTTAGACATTTCCAAACTATAATTCTTTAGGGTTCACATTACGTTTACTATTAACAAGTTAGAGAGCGCTGGTGGCCTAGTGGTAAGAAGCTGGGCTGCAGTCCCAAGGGCACAATTCAAATCCACCATCTTCTCCATGGGAGTAGTATGGGCAGTCACCTCCTGTGCAATTTACTGCTTCCGAAAACCCACTGGAGACCCAACTGTGAGCCTCTTCTGACTTGATGGCATACAACAACAACAAAATGAATTAGAGTCCTCTTTCTAACAAGGAAATTTTTTTTGTGATACAATCCAAGGGTACTGGAAAGAAAGAACAGAAAGTAAAAGAAGTAAATGAAAGATAGAGGAGAGAATTTAAGAAATGATGCTTTGAAGTGGCAAACTAAGAGTAGTTTGTGGATATAGCTATTAGAAAGTTGGAGATTGGTGATCTTAGGCACTGCACTTATAATTAGGATTTGGAACAAAACCTAAAAAGCAGCTCTTCATTATCCAGAAGTAATGTAATTACAGGTTATAAATAGCATGGAAATGACCTGATTCCTCCTATGTAATATCTGGTTTAATTTTATAGGGATGGTTGATTTGGAAGTCTGAAAATGAGATCTGTAACTGAGACTTGCTGTCCTACTGAGATGTCATTAATAGTTTAGAATTGAGTTTTACAAGGATATAAGTACTTATATTCCTTAAGTTACTAATACTTAGAGAAAAAAAAATGTATCCATATAATATTCACCTTTGCTTTATTTTAGGTGCCAGCTGGGACCAAGCCATTAGGTCAACTTTGTGCCTCAGACAATTTCATACAAACTTTAAGCCATAAGCAACTACTGGCTGAAATGATGCAGTCTCACATGGTTAAGGACATGTGCTTAATTGGAGGAAAAGTAAGCCTAACAGCCATCACAACAAATTTCTGTTTCTTGTTCTTGGGTTGTTGGACATATCTCTTAAACGATTGTGTTTGTATCTGTAGGGCTGTGGAAAAACAGTTATTGCTAAGAACTTTGCTGATACATTAGGATACCACATAGAACCCATCATGCTTTATCAGGTAAGGTATTTCTTTGTAGCACTAACATGATGAATGTATACATTTAGACTATCAGGGAACATTCTGTGTATCTATCTTACTAAATTGTGACATTTTTCTGGTTGGTTGATGCAGCCAAATCACTGAAATAGCTAACAAAGAAGAAAGACGCTATAATTATTTTGGAGCTTTTCAAGTGAGTTCTGTGTTTGATGTGTACAACATTCTGATGTTTGTTTTCAAGAGTGACGTCATATTATACATTTGTGTGTGCATACACACACATATGCATTCACTTATACAAGAATCATGAGTAGTTTGGAAACCAAAACGAACTAGGTTTTTCAGCTGCAGTGAAAGAGAACTTTTTTTTTGGTATATTATTTTGATGAGTATATATGTTGCTTATATTTGGGAACAGGAAAATGTATATCTGACGTTTGAAAGCATGAAATATTCTGTAATATATATATTACTGTGGTGGTTTGATTCCCCCAGCTTCTCCTTGATAGACAGATGGACCATCTCCTCCTGTGCAATTCGCTGCCTCAGAAACTTGATAGAGGGACAACTATCAGCTGTTTTCAATTCAATGACAATGAGTTAAAATTGAGGATATCTCTTTCTTGCTAACTTTTAAGTTCTACATGTAGAATTTGGCTTGATATGATATCTTCTTCCTTCTAGTAAGTTCTCTCTTTTGAATCTTTGAAAAAGTCATTTGGAGACCTATTCAAAAGAGAGATTGCTCTGCTGATCTACAGCCTCCAAAAACTGACTGAGTCAGCTATGAGTTGACTCCAACTTGATGGCAGTAATCTTTGAGTTTGGGATTTTTAGTGTATCTTTTGGTTCACCTGTTTTGTTTCTGACTATGTATATTTGTACTAAGAAAGATATTCTGAAATATGACATTTAAGCTAGCTATGAGTTGATAACCTTGCTTTGAATTGCAGTATACTTGCCAGGACCTAGCAAAAACAGCAACATCTGTTGAGAAAAATAGATCATAGAAAATTTTGTAAACTATTTTTATTTCAAAGAATTCTGTTGAGAAGATTCCAGTTATGCTGTTTTAAGGTATTTTGTGCCTATGAGCTGAATTGACCAGAATTTACAAATATTTGCAATTGTATTTTTATACCATAAGAAAAAAAATCTACTGTAAAAGAATAGTTCTCAGCTCCACCGGAAAATGATTCAAAGTGTTCTGCATGCAAGGTGCCATATTAATATTAGTTTTAGACACCCAGAGCAGAATTTCTCATATATTTTTTGAGAATTACTACATACTCACAAGCAGATGGAGATGGACCTGATGCTGGGAAGAGTAGAGGGTCAGCAAAAGAGAGGAAGACTCTACTAGGTGGATTGACGCAGTGACTGCTGCAATGGGCTCTTGTGTGTCAGAAAGTGTGAGTATAGCACAGGATAGAACAGGATTCAGATCATTTGTTCATAGGGTTCACTATAAGTCGTACTCGACGACACTTAACAACAGCCGCAGCAAGACTTTACTTGCATATGTTATTAGTGATGTTGTTCAATAATTTCCACCTTCTGCTGGAACACCAGATCTCTCCCAGTAATTTGTCTAGTTAGCTTTCTCCTAAATTTCTCGACATTAGGGAGCACATTCAGGGCTGAATCTGGTATCCCATCAATTTTTGAGGTCTTCCTTTCTTTTTTTTCTTTTCTCCACTGCTGTCAATACACCTTGTACTTCTTTCTTTACTGCTGGCTCATGTCAGTAAATTCTTTTTTAGTGACTGTATATTTTTTCCATCTTCTTTTGATGCTTCTTGCATCATTCAGTATTTTCCCCATAGAATTTTAAATATTACAGTTGAAGAGTTGGATTTGCTCTTCATTTCTTTCAGTTTGAGAAATCCTGAGTATTATTACCTTTTGAGTTTTCTAACTCCAGCTCTTTGCACATTATTTTTTTTATAATGCTTTGTTGTCATCTTGAACTGCCCTTTGATATTTTTTGTTTACCACTCTTACATCAGTATTACTTTCTTTTGTTTGAAACGTATACATAAACCAAGAAGTAGTTGTCCAGTAGGACAAAGGAACACTGCATGGTTTAAATTAGAAAAAGTATGCATCAGGGTTGTATTCTTTTAAGAATCTGAATTATGTGAAGAAGAATATGGCATACATAATAATTAGAAAAAGACTCAGCTTTCTCCACCTGTGTTCTATGGGTGACAGACAGCCTTCCTTGTAGAAAGTAAAGACTTGAAGCACTTACTACAGAAGATCAAGACTACAGCCTTCAATATGGATTACATCTCAAAATTAAGAAAACAGCAGTCCTCACCAGTGGACCAATAGGCAACATCAGAATAGACAGAGAGAGATTGAAATTGTCAACTGTTTTACTTGATTCCACAGTCAACACCCATGATAGTAGTAGGGAAGAAAACAAAAGATGTGTACATTGGGAAAAGCTGTCATCAAAGTGGTAAAGAGCAAGGATGTCAGTTTAAAGACTAAGGTGTGCTTAATCCAAGTAATTGCATTTTTCAGTTTCTTCTTATGCATTTGAAAGCTGGATAATGAATAAGGATATTCTTGTTGTTATATGTATCACTCATAGTGATCCTATGCACAGTAGCTCTGAACCTTGCCCTATCCTGGGTCAATATCACAACCTTTGACGTACCTACCCCATTACTGTGTCAATCTATCTCATCCAGGATTTTCCTCTCTGTGTTGTCCCTCTACCCTTCCAAGCATGATGTCCTTTCTGCAGGACTGGTCCTTCCTGCCTCCAAGAAACAGCCTGGTTTCACCCTTTCCATGATAAACCTGTTTATTTTCTTGGCAGTAAATAGTATATTCAATACCATTTTATACCATGGAGTGTTTACTTGATTTTTAATTTCTCTTCTTTTTAATTTATATGATTATTACTATTACTTTCCCTCTGAGAACTGCTTTTGCTATGTCCCAATAGTTTTAATATGTTGAAGTTTCATTCCATTTTTATTTTATTTACTTCTTTAATTACACTTTTGACTTCCATAATCCACTGATTTTTACATAAGGTGCTATTCAGTTTCTATGTATTAGAGTGTTTTGTTCTTTCTTTTGTTTGTTTTTGCTTTTACTGTATTGTGATAAAAAAGATATTTTATATTCTCTCATTTTTTAAAAAAAAATTTCTTGAGGTTAGCTTTGTGACCTAAGATATGGTGTGTTTTAGAAAATTATCTCTGTGTTTTTGAAAAGTATGTGCATTGCACTGTTGTTTGGTGTATTGTTCTATATATCTATGATAACAAGTTGCTTGATTGTGTTTAAATATTCTGCCTATTGTTCAGTTGCTTTCTATTTGTTCTGGCCATCATTGAAAGTGGTGTGTTAGAGTCTCTTACTATTATTATGAAACTCTCTTTTTTTAATGCTATTACAGTTTATGTGTTTTAGAACTGTGTCATTAAATATATGAATGCTTATTATAAATGTGTTTTCTTGGAAAATTTATTTTTAATTATATAAGACCCTTCTTTCTCTTTTGTGGCAGATTTTTGCCTTAATGTCTGTTTTATCATACATTAGTGTTACCATTCCTGATCTTTTTGGGTTATTGTTTGACACACACACACACACACACACACACACACGCCTGTTCATTGTTAGCTTATTTATGTATCTTTTTCCTCCATTTTTCTTTTGTGCTCATTAACCTATAAAGAAATATCTAAGACAAAAGTGATTTTTGATACAAACTTTGGAAAAGGATAGAGAAATATAACCATGGTATGTTTTTTGTGTGACTACCTCCCATGAATTGGATCAGAGCATATTGTAAACACTTGCAGAGTTTACAAAACACTAATCAGTTGGTTTTCATGATGGAACCGTATTTCTGGTTTTATGTTTAAGACTGTTAAGTATTTATTAGGCAAGTTTTTTGATCTCCCTGAGACAAAGGTACTAAGTTAGTAGAATCAAATAATAAGCTTGGCTTAAAAATAGTACACACACTTCCACTGTCTTTGATTCCAACTCACCAATTCTGTATAACAGTATAATTTCCTAATAAGGTTTACAAAGTTACAAAATTTCTCTCTCCAGAGTGGCTTATGGATTTGAACCACTGACCTTTAATTAGCAGCTGAGCATTCTTACAGCTGTCCCACCAGAGGTCCTATTCACAATAATAGAGGAATGTCTGTGTTTTATTGACTATGCAAAGGCGTTTGACTGTGTGGACCACAACAAACTGTGGCTGACTCTGAGAAGAATGGGAATCCCAGGAAACCTGTTCATGCTTATGCAAAACCTATACTTGGATCAGGAGGCGGTCATCAGAACAGAGCAAGGAAGCACTGCATGGTTCAAAACTGGGAAGGGTGTACACCAGAGATGTGTCCTATCTCCACACCTTTTCAACTTATATGCAGAACAGATTATCGAGGACTGGGCTCTATGAGGAAGAATGTGACATCAGGATTGGAGGAAGTCTCATCAACAGTTTGTGTTATGCAGATGATACGACCCTTCTTGCTGAAACTGAGGAGGATCTGAAGTGTTTGCTGCAGAAGAAGGTCAAGGACTGCAGCCTTCAGTATGGATTGAAGCTCAATATCAAGAAAACAAAGATTCTCACCACTGGCCTGATTGATAGCATCATGATAGATGGTGAAGAGATTGAGATTGTTCATGGCTTTGGTTTGCTTGGCTCCACAGTCAACACTCTTGCCATCGGCAGCCAGGAAATGAAAAGGTGAATTAGATTTGGAAGTCTGCTGTCAGAGACCAAAGGACTGAGGAGCAATGATGTCAGTCTGTAGACTAAGGTGCGCCTGATCCAGGCTATGGTCTTTGCAATTACTTGTTATGCATCAGAGAGCTGGACAGTGAATAGGGATGAATTGAGAAGGAGAATTGATGCCTTCGTCTTGTGGGAGAAGAGTATTGAGTATACCATGGATTGCTAAGAAAACAGTTTTGTCCTGGAGAGGATGAAACCAGGCTGCCCCTTAGAGACAAGGTTTCAGAAACTT